AAAGAGAGAGTTCCCAGTGCAGGCAGCATCATAGAGATTTGCTGTATCTGATAAAGATTAGGTTTCTCAGCTCATAATACCATACTATTACTTTCCTTTTGTTAGTCTTTCAACACCTACACTCCTGCATTGACACAATATCAAGTAGGAAGAGGAAGAATAGCCTTGTATTTAAGGGACTGAGCAGGGATTAAAGAAATTTCGGTTCTTTTCCCTGGCTCTGCCAGAGACTTTTGTGACCGTGTACAAGTTACTTATTATTTTCATGCCTCTATTCTTGATCTGTGAAATGGTGATTTTTTTTTTCCTTTCTTTTTCCTCCCAGCCCTAAAAGCTTTCTTGCTGGCTTCCTTGCACTCCATGTGCTAGGCTTGTTGCTTGAGTTCCATCTAGGAAGCTGTAGCAGTTGCGTAGGGACAGGAAGTGTTTGGCTGCTGTAGGTGATGAAATCAGGGCAGGCAATGGCTGGAATTAGCCATATGAACACTTGGAAAGCTGCCTGCCTCCATTACAGTCATGTACTTTCATTAGTTGTGGGTATGAGTGTGTGTCGTTTTACTTGGTCTAACAGGAAAATGTCCGGTATCCTGATGAACTAACTGAGTTTGAAAGAAGAAGCAAAACCATTGCTCTGCCATGGAAGTTTTCTCTAGTTACACATTTTTTGACAGTTTCATCTTTTATTTGAAGTTGGTTTTGTGCCCTCTTGCTGTGTCTCTACCAGAGGCTGTATTCTGTAGTAGGGAACTGAAAAAGTCTGAAATTGGGCTGGTGATGGCGCTGAGCTCTTACATGAGGCTGCACTGTTCGGGCAGTGCAGTCTGCATTTGTAGTATGTGGCTTTCAAATGCTTTTCAAGATTGCACTTGGCAATAATAATTTATCAGAACTGGTAGTCTCTTATCAAACAGAGCCTGCATGTACTTTTCTTTAGAAAGCATGTGGTCAAATCTCTGAACACGTGATTTCTTTGTTCCTGAGCTGCATCCTGAGATGCTAATAAAGCTCTGGTATCGTTCATTTAATGCAGAGAGTTTGATCTCTGCTTTCTGGATCCCATTATGACTGAGGTGGATGCAAAGAGCTCTCTTGTGCTGGATGTATGGACTGGTTATGGGAGGTTATTTGTCAGTGCAATTGCAAGCTGAATGAGCTAATGTCCTATCAGGTGTCAGTCACCAATTTCAGGTTTTCTTTATGGAATCCCGCTGGCTGGCTGATGATCCTTCTTCAGCTGTGATGAGCTAATCTTTCCCTGACATTGCCATCACAGTTCTGGAAAGGTCTGCAGGGCAGTGCCTTGCCTTTGGTTGCTGCTGTGCTTGACATAGACACATATATATCCAGATGATTCTCCTGCCTTGCTTTATCATTCTGGGTGGAATTAAGGCTGATGACTCCTAGAGTATCCCTACTGGCTTTACTTTGCCATTTGCAGCACAACCATTGTCAGTACAGGATGTGGTTATTTGCAGCATCAGGTGATACATGACTGCTTGCATGCCCTTGCTTTGCTGTGTCCTGGGGGTGCTGCAGTGGCACTGGAGTTGCAGCTTGTCTCCTGTCAGTGGGCATCTCTGTGTGTGCCTTGAGCCCTGGTGTTGCAGTGTGTGCTGCTGTGCAGAGCAGCTCTGCTGGTTGTAGCGGGGCTGTGCGTGTGCAGAACAGCTCTGTGCTGGTTGTAGCGGGGCTGTGCGTGTGCAGAACAGCTCTGTGCTGGTTGTAGTGGGGCTGTGCGTGTGCAGAACAGCTCTGTGCTGGTTGTAGTGGGTGTGTGTGCGCAGAACAGCTCTGTGCAGTTGTAGTGGGGCTGTGCGTGTGCAGAACAGCTCTGTGCTGGTTGTAGCGGGGCTGTGCGTGTGCAGAACAGCTCTGTGCTGGTTGTAGTGGGTGTGTGTGCGCAGAACAGCTCTGTGCAGTTGTAGTGGGTCTGTTTGTGTGCAGAACAGTTCCGTGCAGTTGTAGTGGGGCTGTGTGTGTGCAGAACAGCTCTGTGCAGTTGTAGTGGGGCTGTGTGTGTGCAGAGCAGCTCTGTGCAGTTGTAATGTAGTTTAGTCCTTTATACTCACTCTGAAAGTTCCTGCCATAATCAGTGAGCTGAGGAAAAGTGATTTCCTTAAAATATGAGGGATTGTGATGAAATTTTTTACAGTGTAACTAAACAAAATTGGGCTTTATCTTTTAATTTGTATTATGGCTTCGTAATATAAAACAGCAGGTTTCCTGAAACTCTAGAGCAGTCTGAAATAAGTCTTAGACTCCTTTATTTTCCAGTTGCTGCCTTAAGTAGTTTTAAGCATTATTTTAGAATGTAACAGAATTCCAATATAAAAATATGTCTGGCAGCAGATCAGATGTGGGCTGAAACTTTTCAGCTTCTTCAGGGGTCATGAGATGCAGCACTGCCCTGATGAACTTCATTATGCCAGATGAATATGAAATAGTCATATAAAGGAGGTTTGCAAAGACATAAAGAAAAGGCACCTATTTTTTCAGTGCATCTGGGAATCTTAATCCTATATTTTAAAGTTTTTTCTGTTGTGTTAAGATTGCAGATTAAATGTGTACATTTTTGTAATAAAAAGAATTCTGTGGTTCAATCTTGAAATAGATGTGAATTATCTGTAATATTACAGATCAAGTCAGATTCCTCATCGAGTCATGTTGTGCACACATTTAGAGCCTTTGCAGTGCAATACTTCAGCCTCTGTTAGGCATTTACAGTTGAAAAGGATATTAATGGATATTTAAGGTGTTGATGAATCATGGCCTAAATTTTAATTGTTGGAACCAGCGAGTTTAGGAGTTGCTGAGTTTTTCAGGACAAGTTACTTTACTTGTTTCACATGCAAACAAGACCATTCATTTCACACCAGAGCTGCAGTTCTGCGGGTGTCCCCCCGTGTATAATGTCATTTGTCAGTAAAAGCAGAGCTGATTAGCTTTATAATTTACAGTTAACCAGGTCTGTCAGGAAGATGGTCTTATTGTCCAGCTTGTCTTTTTGTCCTGAAGCTGTGGCTGGGGGTGGAACGGTGTATGCACCTCGGGGAGGTCAGCGAGGGTGGAAGGCACTAATGCATTCTGAGCTGCAAAGCTCACGCTTGACCTCCATGATTAAAGTTTTTTTCTGTCATCCAGCAGCCGTTGAGCCTGAAATGTCTCTTAAGAAGTCAAAAGGTCTAATCAAGCTAATGAACAAACTCAATCATTAGTACTTTGGGAAGGAAGTGTGCAGGCACTGGCGGTGCCCCAGCTGCAGGGTGTGTGTTGCTGGGGGCGCAGGAGCTGCTGGAGGTGCAGCAGGGCACAGCCGCCCCCCCTGCGCAGGGCCGAGCTCATCCCACGCTGTCCACGCTCTGCTCTGGCCAGGGGGACATCTGGATTCTTGTAGGTGATAGGGAGGGCTGCTTGTTTCCTTTCAAGGGTTTTTTAAGTGAGGGTTAAACAAAAGCTAAACCTTCCTTAGGTGAATATCTGTGCTAGCGAACTAATCTGCATTTCTCTTTACCCATTGCTCCCAGCTCTTTGCACTCAGATTTCTCTGACATGGATAAAATATTTTTCAGGGATCCTTTGTTACATTCCAATATCTGAAGTTAATGGGAAAGCCTTTTTCACACTGGTCAAGTAGATGACAGTCATTTAAATGCAGTAAAACCTTTCAGACTGTGCACACCTTGGCTTTGGAGCCAGAACCTTCGTCATGTGTGTCCTGGAGACTGGCACCAGTGTCTAATATACATGCACATACCAGCCAGACCTGCTTTTCCAAACATTTTCTCTTTGTTTATTTTATGATCAAGTGTCTTATAATTCTTTATTCTGATGAGAGCAAAGCCTCAGCAAAGAAGAAAAAAGTAGTTTTTTCATGCTCACGCTCACACTTCTTACATGGAAAGTATGTAGTGATTTTGGTTTTCCCTGTGAAGAGAGTAAATCAAACCCAGGTTATTATTTTTTAAATAAATTACCCTAAAACTGTAACTATCACGTAAGAAACCTGCTTTTTCTTCCAAATCCATGGAAATTCACTGGTTCAAGCAAGGGGTATGACAGAAACTCTCCTAAGAAAGTAACTTCTTCCCCCTGTCAGGAATACTCATCCTGTGCTTAAACAGACACTTGCAATTAATCCTTTCCTCAGTCATTTTAGCTGCCCTGGTAATTTTACACAGCCAGTGGTAAATATGAGATTACTAATTTAAAGCTTTCAGAAATAGAATTATATCATCCTTTTAAAAGGGAATGCTTTAAGACTCTTTGCTGTCTAATGTTAATTTTGAATACTCAACAGATGAAGAGTCCAAATATATTTTGAGTTAATATGAGCATCCATAAGCATATATGTGGCTTGGTATGAGCATCCATAATAATTATACATCAGTACAATTTAGTCCTTCTTTGTTACTTTTTTTTTAATTCAGTAAATACATTTGCTTCCTCTGTTGTGTATTTGTAGATGTGTGGAAGAAATTGGTGCCCTTGAAGCAGACTTCAGCATTACCATAACTCATTAAAATAAGATTAAAGTAGAACTGCAAAACAATTTCTGTCTTTTGCTGACAAGATTGGAAAAAGGGGAATTTTACTCCTCCAATATGAGTTTTTCAGAGGTGTGGAAAGAACAGAGTGGAAGTTCCTGACCCATTTGTGCTGGCTCTGCTGAGGCAAATAAGCAGACTATAAGGAATTCACATGACTCTGTGTCATATTTTGGGGAGAGTAAGTAATGTTAGCTTTTTGAATGATGAAAGTTCTTCAGCTTTAGTGAAATGTCTGTAAAGCCACTCTGGTTTATTTTGATGATCTGCAATTTTCCAGCCTGTTTTTCCATCCTGTGGTTGGGACCTGCAACTAAAGTGCAGTTTACTCAATGCTAGGTAAGGTCTGTGTTCCTTACCTGTTTATTTTGGAAGGGAAGGAGGTCAGGTGCAGGCAGTGGATTCACAGGGACTCAGTCAAGGCTGTTGGAGTGTTTAATGCTCTGAACTCTCCAGGGTGAACCCATCACTTTCTGCGAGGAAGCGTTCGTGTCCCACCGTTCGTCTGTGATGAGGCAGTTCCTGCAGAATGCCATCCAGCTGCAGCTCTTCAAGCAGGTACTGCTTCCAGTGATCCATGGGGAAGCAGATTCTCTAACAGTTCAGGTGGGGGCTGGGGGGCTGTTTCTGTGTCCCTTGATGCTGTAGCCAGCACCTCAGTTCCTGCTTGCTGGCTTCTCTCAGACTGGGGTGCTGAGGCTTTCTGTATATTGAGTGGTGGGTGGGTTTTCCCACTAATGGTCTCTGAACTCAAGGATTTTTCTTACCTGAGCATGCCTAGACCCAGGATATCTCCTGTACACTTTGTCCAGGAGGCATATTACTGCTGAACATAGAACTACTGCTTTAGGGCAGCTGAAAACATGTATGTGTAGCCAAACACAAGTGCTGGTTTTTAGCAAAGCCACACACCTTAGGGCAGTGGGCAACACTGTGTCAGTTTGGATGGTATTTTCATTCTATTTTGAGTCCCTACCCAATGCAAACATTGAGGTTATTCCAGCTAATGAAGGATAAAGTCTTTCTGAAAGGATAAAGATGGATGGTTGATGTGTTTCTGTCTTCTAATGCTGATGCAGTTCATTGATGGGCGTCTGGATCTGCTGAACTCTGGGGAGGGCTTCAGTGACGTGTTTGAAGAGGAGATAAATATGGGAGAATATGCAGGTAAGAAATATTTCAAGGTAATTTCAGACACTTTTGTTGGTTTACCATTTGTGGGTTATCGTGATGTAATTGGTCATTGCTGCTAGATAAATAACAGACTTAGTGATCCTGGCAGCCTGAAATGTCTTAAATTTTTATTCTTTCGTCTGTCAGGAGCTTTGAATAATGTATTGTAGTCTGAGTAATGCTTGTTCAGTCTTAAAAAACCTCAGCATTACCACTTTAATAAAGTACAACTTAAAGAGTTCTTGCATTGGAGGAAAAATCTTGGCTTTACCCAGAACCACCTCAGATTTCTTTTAGTGAACTTAAAAACATCTGTGTTCTCAAATGTCTGAGACAACACAGAGAAAACAGGAGAGTGTAAATCTCTCATCAATGTTACGTTTTCTCCTGAAAGGAAAGGCTGGCTGTCCTGTTCTGTCCATGCTCCACAGCCACTAATTGCCAACACTTCACATTTTTAACTTATTTTCTGTTCAGCAGAGGGTTACAATTTTTTTTTGTGTTTGGTTCTCCATAGGTAGTGACAAACTGTACCACCAGTGGCTGTCCACAGTGAGGGTAAGCACATGAGCTCCTGCCAGACACCCTGAACTGGGGTTGGCCTGTTGAAGATTTTCATGTAGTGACAGAGACAGTAAATCTTAAAGCTGTTTACATCTGATTGCATATAATCAAATTTCATCTCTGGAAATGTTATTTTGCACTGAAAGTAGGAAATACAACATTAGCCAGGGTTTCATTGCTTGGATTTTGCCCTTGTGTGTTTCTCTGTAGGGTGCTGTACAGCAGGAGTCGGTGGGGTGTGGCAGGGGTGTGCAGCACCAGCCAGGTGAACAGATCATTGCAGTGCCTGCATCACTGGCTCATCACTGTGATTGTATTCATCACATGAGATTCAGCTGCTCTAGAATTAATGTTTGTGACTGGAGTTAGATTTCATTTTCCCTCACTTTATCCCTTTATCAACTACTTGTATCTGAAAAAGGCACCATGTGTGATAAACAGGACTGTGGGATGAGGGAAGGGAAAAGAGCAAAGTAAAACCAGGTCTCCCCTCCTCAAATTGAACATACAGACTGTCCTGAGGCAGTTTCTGGCTCAGACATTGAGTGTTGCTCAGGATACTTGTGTCTTAAACTTGGTCAGGATTTTAGTGGAGTGTACAGAACAGCATGAGGTGAGTGGAGGCACAGGGCACAGCTGTGAGATGTGTAAGACAAGGGAGGCACCTGCATTGTCCCTTGGACAAGTGCTGAATACAGAACTGGGCAAAACCAGAGCGACATTCAGAGTCGTTTTCCTTGGGTCTTTTTCTTTAAATCTGACCTTTTCATACTCAGCTTTGCTAATAAGGATAGTTAATGCTCTGTTATTTTAAGTTAAGAATGGTGGATTTTAGATGGCTGTTTGCTTTAAAGAGCTTTGATAACATTTCTTCCCTTGTTACTATAATTACAGAAAGGAAGTGGAGCCATTTTAAACACAGTAAAGACCAAGGCTAACCCTGCCATGAAGACTGTCTATAAGTTTGTAAGTATTGAGGACTGGCTTACTACTGAGATAAGAGTCTAATTACAATTCTGTTTAGACCTTTCAAATGAGACTCAATACTTAAATCCATTTTTATTGGACTCAGAAAATTACTCAAAATATACATTCATTCAAATTTCAAATTTAAATGAAAAAGTCATTTTGAAATTTAAACTCAATTGAAATGCAAAGTACAATGGGAACTTGTGATTTCTTTTGAAAGTACAGATGATAAATTCCATTTATTACACAGAACTCTTTCTGGGAAATAGTGCCTGTGTTCTCTGCTAGGCAGCTCTACCATCTCATCATTGCTCTGTTGGAAATCATTGTTACCTCAGCTTTCCCTGCTTGCAGCTTCATCGAAAGAAGGGAATCCTCTCATTTTCCAAATTGTTTCCATCTTTTCTAAATGTCAATTAATTTTCCCTAGAGATTTCTTATACCTGCTTATTTAGAGCCCAACTTACTGAGTTATTCTTTAAATGGAAGTGTTTTCAGTGCTGTTAACAAACAGCTGGTGTGTTGCTGTGCTATCGTGTGTGGCTGCCAGCTCCGCTCTGCCAGATCAAACAGCACAGAAACAAGTGAGGATTTCTTATATGCTCAGTTCTGAGAAGTAATGTTACAAAAAGCATTGAGATAACCGTTCAAACTTTGGGGTTTTTTCCTCCCTTCCTCCAGCCTGAGAGAAAGGAGTAGGATGAGATTGGCTCTACTAAATGGGACTGGCACCCAGAGCAGTGTGAGGAGAATTTGCAGGCTCACTGCCAGTGTGGAAGGATAGAAGTTTATAGCAAAGATAAATACTTGCTGGGGAACACTGAGCGTGTGGAATGCAAAACGATGAAAGATGTCTGTGGCTTCAAAACAGGGAAAGCAAAATTTTTACAACAAAGATGAGGTGGTGTTTTTTGTTTATTTGGGGTCTTTTTAGCTTTCTGTTTGTTTTGATGTGTTTTCAGTATCCTGTTACATTTTTTTATTGCCGTTTTTATTAACTGAAAACAAACTTAGTCACTGCTGGAAATAGAAGGGAATTTTAACTTAAATTATTTTTCATGCAGGCAAAAGATCATGCAAAAATGGGAATAAAAGAAGTGAAAAACCGCTTGAAGCAAAAGGTACTTGAAGTTCTTATTCAAAATGTATAAGCACCACGTCTGAAATCCTTAGCCACTGAAAGCATGATGTGATCAATAGGAAGCTGTTTGATACAGTGCTGTTAGCACACTTCAAAATGCATTACCAGCTGTCCTGGATTTTTCACACTTATAAATATTCACAGACAAAAAAAATTGTCTTCAAATACATGAAAGCTCTGACTTAAACCCACAAAAGCCAGAAAATTGAGTGTTCTGCTTGGAGTGGTCCTGCTCCTGTCCTTCGTGCTGGGGCACTGTGTGAGGGGACTGCATGTGGATTGGGGGCACTTCCCTACAGTTCTGGCAGTGAACTTTTTGCAAATGGCAATTTGTTGTTATTTTTGCAGTAAGCAGTCAGGAAAAATAGCCATTGGGAAGGGGATTTCTGCATTTCTTGAATGTCTGCTGCAAAGTTCAGACAGGAAGGATTTTATTAGAGTTGATGTCTATTGCCAATTGGAATTATTGGAGGAAAAACCACTCCAGCTGTTTGTTGTTCCCCAAATGTGTGTGTGTGTGTGTTTGTAAACAGCACAATTCCAGCTGCTCCGCTGTGTTCGAGGGATGCGTTATCCAGTCCCAGCTGCTCCTTTCAAACAGAGCTCCTGTCACACTGGCACACACCTCATGAGAACCTGGGTAACTGCCCTGGCTTAGGGCAGAGACTCCCTTTATTCTGTGCCTCAGAGCTCTCAGAGAAAGGAGGAAGCCAGGCAGCTGACCTGCTGAGAGAACTGAGCTTCTTATTCAGAAATTTATATTCAATTTGTTGCATAGGAGTTTGGGTGGATTTTGTTTAATCTGTGCTCTCTCTGTAAATTTCTACTCTAAATTTCTAGACCATCCTCTCAAGTTAGGGCTCCAAATGCTCGTGGGCAGACAGAAGTGCTCTCAGCCTGTCCCCAGGCTACGAAGGGAGGATTTACCTGTGTGCATTCCAGCTGCTGGCCCCTCTCTGAGCCCTCCAGACATTGCTGCAGAATCTCGGGGAAGATAAAGTGCCTACAGATGCTTTTATGTTATTACTCTACATTATATATGACCACTGTAGGTATAATTTGAAAATAGTAGAAACATGGAGCAGTTTTCTTGTACCTGGATTTCTTTATGTCATTGCCCGTGTTTCACCTCTGGACATGTCGTTCTGCCTTTCTGTGTGTGTTCCTAAAGCTGTTGGAGCTGTGTAATGTGAGCAGGTTTTTTCTGCATTTTAAATGATAATAGAATTGTGTGCTGTTGTGTGACATTTGTGTACCAGGCTGAGGAAAGCCTCATTCAGTCATTGCTTTGTTTTATTATTATTGTTGTCTTCCTAGTCTGTCAAGCAGCAAGCAGCCCTTTAAAAAATATACATAACATTTACAACTAAATGGCCAATTTTGGTTCACCTTCTTTATGTGGTGTATCTGTAAGTGAGATGCTTAAACATGATTGTTCAACATAGGCTTTCACAGGAACTTAAAAGATAGCTGTGAGTAGTTGACACACACTGCTCAACCTCTCCTTCCTTTATTATTCTGTCCTTTTCTATGTCCCGTCCCCTTCTCCATGTGAAAGTAGGCAGGAAGGTAACTAAAATTAGGGATTCCTCTGTTAAAAGTGGTAAAAATAGCAAACATTGCTTTGGTCCTCTAATTTTTAATCTAAGTGTCTGTGCTGTTTCATTATGGGTCTGTTATGCACAGACCTATTAATGCATCCTCCCCAGTTTTTATGTAAAGGCATTGTATTTATCCTGTTTCCTCACTAGCGTGTGTGAGTATTAACTATCTGACATTCTGGTATCATTAAATACTTACTTTTTGCCAAATTTGGGATGCTAGTCTTTCATCTTCTAAGAGTAATCTAAGGTTATTTTTAAACAGAACTTACTATCCACTGCATTTTAACATAGTATTTTCCATTATTAATATAGAAAGTATGCAGGTCCCTGGTAAGGAAAAGTCAAATATAAACATCCCTTTTCCAGTTTTTGCTGCCAAATCTGAGCAGCTACTGTACAAGATATAATTCTAAAATGCAATAAAGCTGGAGGTTCTGCTTCTTCCAACTCTGCATAGCAATGGTGACCTCTTAAATATAATCAAGAGCCCATTTTGCCCTTGGTCTGCTCCAGTCTTGGGTTTGAATTGCAAATGAGAAATGCAGGATTGACCTGTTGAGAGGTCACTGTGGTGTGTGTAAGGTCCTTCTTTAATATGATAGTGGAGATTGAATGGTGCTCCATTTCCATCCCTTGTTCATTTGTGGTGCAGTATTTCAAAGCAACAGAAATAGTTTTCAGAGGATTCCTATGAGTGAGAGCAAATAATTGTTAATAGATACAGCCTAGTAGCTTTATTTTATATCTGATATAGTTCTTTTTTTTCTTTCTTTTTTCTCTTTTTTCTTTTTCATTTCCCTTTTTTTTTCTTTTTTGCAAAGGCTGCCTTTTTCCATCTCACCCACTGTGTTGGTCAAGTCCCTCCGTTAGTGGCTCATTTGAAGCTTAACTGCATAGAATTAGGAAGAGGGAGGAATATGAATGGTACCGTCCTCATCTTTCAGTCAGGAGAATGGAACTTACTGAAAGCTCTGGCTAAGACAATTTATATAAATGGTTGGGCACTCGGCATTAATATATTCAACATTATTTTAGTTACTAGAGCCCTGTGTGGCTCTAGTTAATGCCTGGTATTCTAGAAACAACTCATTTAGAGCTCTATAACACAACCTGCACAACATTCAAGACACTCAGAATGTGTTTTGCTCCTCTCTAGACAGTGTTTGCAGTCCATTACAAAATAAGATAATATTTCATTGTTTTTTTAACTCCGATGTGTTTTCATTGAAGATAGAAAGCAAACTTTTGTGAAGCAGATTTTGCTTTGATGAGTGAAGCTGTATTGATGATTTGTTTGCCTTTTGGGGATGTTGAAAAAATAGAGAGGAATGAAATAATTTAATTCTTATCTTTTATTAAGCAGTTAAAAAAAATAGATTGTGGTTTCATTGGAAGTCCGTGCACCAAAGACAGTGGAAGTAGGCTTTAGGAACATGTTATCTTTTATTTGCAATTATATCATCAGAGAAGTAGGGGCAATCTATAGCAATAAAAGCTCAAGGATTTGCAGTGATCGTTACACAACTGAGGGGATTTTGCTTAATGGCTTAATCTCTCTCCATCTTTCATCTCTTCCCATTCCCCTCATATCCAAACTTTTGTGTCCTTCTTGTGGCTCTTTGGGGATCTGCCTGGGAAGGGGCTTTGCCCTCCATTGCCTCCCAGCTGTGTGCAGCCTTGGTTGGAGGCACGGCCCCAGGGAGGCTCTGCAGGGCCGGGAGCAGCCCCTGCTCAGCACGGCTGGGTGGCCCTGGGAGTGCTGCAGCTTGGGCAGCTCCAGGCACCTGCAGTGTGGCTCCATCCCACAGGAATGTGTAAATAGGGCTTGTGTTTGGCTTCATTGCAAGGAACGGTGCTGCCATAGGCTGTGTGAGTCCCAGGCTGAGGAGATCCCTTGGGGGCTTGGTGCTGGCTGGAGCTGGAGTAGGAGTTTGTAGACACTCGGGTTTCTTGTCAATGTCTTGCTTTGGGGCTCTTTGTTACTAATTCGGAGGACTTTGTTGTACCTTTTCAAGACAAGGTGGCATTGTGCAGCTGAAGGGCGGGGGAAAAAAAGTTTTTCTCTCTAGTTTGACCTTAACAAGTTGTTAATTCCCCATGATCCTTATGCCGGTATTGGGGAACCACTGCTCTACCAGCTGGATCTAAAGAGGGGTCTCAGCTTCTCTGTGGAGCAGACAAAGCCCTTAGAAAGTCCATCCAGCTTTTTGTTTCATTTGACCTAAACACATTAGGTCAGTGTGTGTCCAAAGGAGCCATTTCTAATTGGCCATCAGCTTACACGGCTCATTATTGTACCTGAGCGAGCCGGGGGCTCGCGGGGCCGTGTCAGAGGTCGGGGAATCAAAGCCCTGCCGGTGGCAGCAGCCACCCTCAGGTCAGCCTTGCAGAGCTCCAGCCTCTGCAGCCTTCTCTCCATATTTACCCAGCATTATTTCCTTGGCATTGTTGCAGAGATGTAAGGTTTGGGGCCCACTGTGTTACAGACTGTTTCTCAACTCACTTTCAAACTCTTTGGTTCTTCTCTGATTCCTGGTGTCTGCGGGCCTTTGTCTTTTTCAAAACCTGTGTTACACACCTTGTACTTGCCAAGTCCTCTAACCTGGGCTGGCTGGTCACTTCACTTCTGGAGATGAGAACTAAAGTCAAAGCAAACAAAAAGTGTTCTGCCAGGCAGCCCTTGGTGTTGTACCCTCTCCTGGAGGCATATTCAGTGCACACAGACTCCAAGATGAAATGCAGAGCTAACTAAGTTCTGAGTTCCATCTCTCCTTGCCACTTCCACCAGTAATTGTTCTGCTATGGGTAATTCTGTGCAGTACGTTAATGGAATTACTGTGTTCATTTAGGTTTACAATAAGCAGAATGCCCTGTCCCTGCACTTCTGTTGAGTTCATTTCTAAAATAGAAAATCTGAGCTATGGTTTTTTTCTCCACATGCACTTCCTGGCTTTTGCGTGTTCAAGTCAGACATTTTATTCAATGTCCTGTTTGCAGCACTGGTACTGGGAGGAGAGAGGGGTTATGTACAAGCTCTGATGGATGAAATATTTTATTCTAATGATATTTTCTTTTCTGTACTTTGGTGTTTTTTCCCCTAACATCCGAACTGTTAGTCAGCATTATCCTCTAGTGTCTCTTTTGTGCACCTTGCCCTCCCTGAGGAGTGTTCCTGGCCATGCTTTTCACCTTTTCCTGCCCCACAGGACATTGCTGAGAACGGCTGTTCGGCAGTGCCGGAGGAGCCCCTGCCAAGGACGGCACCATCGCCCCTGCCTGAGAAGAAGGACCCGAAATTAAGAGAGGACAGGAGACCAATCACAGTGCATTTTGGTCAGGTAGGTCTTAGTGTAAGTTGTTCTCCATCATGTGCCTCAGCAAGAATAGTTCAGAAAAGTCATGATAACAAATATACCAAATGCTTCATTATCTTCAATCACTGAACTGTGCTGTTTTAGTTTTATTTCTGTTCTATCTGTTTAAAGGGGATTCTAAAACCTGATTTTTCTGGGGTTTGCAGATTCCTTTTGTTCGAACTATGATTTTGAGGAAAATAAATGATGAGTGAATGGGGGAAGCATAAATATTGTAGCAATTATAGAAACTATTTTGCAGATGTTTTAGCATGCAAGGTGCTTCAGCTCTCAGGACTGAGGGTGTAGAATTTAAAGCATCCGCTGCTATCTAGCCAGATCATTAGTGTCAATATGGGATGTCCAACTATTAAAGCATTTGAACATTCTCTGAAAATTAAATGCGATGAACTAAGATGGAAAAATCAATTAATAGCTTGTTAGCGTGCTCTGTATTCAGTATTGACAGCTGAGCTGTTCACGTTAGTTACTGGTGTAATGTTTCTTTTGATATGTCTGCGAAACAGAGAGTTTGGGGGTGGGGTTTGAAGAGCTGGCTATGTAGAAAATGTTGTAGTTGCTGTGATTTTCATGGGAAAACATCCAGTGTTTATTATCCGTTTGCCAGTGTTCCCCTATTAAGTATAGGCTGACTGGAAAAATGACATGATTTGTGTTCACTGTTCTCCTTTCTTTTGTTGTATCTATTCTTTACTCTGTTCTGACCAGAAAACAGGAGGAAATATCTGATTTCTTCTAAGGAAGCAAAGTATAAATTTAAAGCAATTGTAAAACATTATAAAATGTGAAGCAAACCAGTTTTAGAGAAGTGTCTATGAATAGAAACCAGGTGGTGTGGCTGCACTGACTGTTCAGGTATGAGATGGGGCTACCCGAGGTCTGCTCACTGCTCAGAGCAGTGTTGTCTGCATCATTTCAGAATTAGATTGATTTTTTTCAGTACTTTAACCAGTGTGCTAGAAGTAAGTTCTTGGAGACTTTTAAAAAACCTTTCTCTTCCAATTAAGTATTTTCAGTAGAGACTTATTTTTCTGTTACTTTCAGTGCCACTACAGTTGAGAGGAGTTGGGGCTACTGGAGGAATGCAGCCATCTAGCTCCAGCAGGGACATGTTACATTTCATTTGAAGCAGTCAGAAATCAGATGATATTACAATTTTTTTTTCAGTTTTTCCTTTCGATTTTTGTGAACGATGGAGGGTTCAAACATGGTGGGAGGTTAATGAAATATATATTTGACTGGGAAGTGCAAATTTAAATTCATGAGGTTTTTTAACAGTCACTTTCAAATTTTTTAATGATCACTTTTCTGTGTTGAAAGAAACACGCATCAGCTTCCCTGACCCCTGGCTATGGGGAGAGGCTTGCTGGCTAAATGCTTATTGCTGTCATCACATTACAAATGCTGGTTTCCAAAAACCCATCTGACTTAGCAGTTGTAGGGCTGTGTGACTCAGCCTCAGTCCTGGCACAGGTCTGCTCCTTCTGATAGCCCAATGCCAAAACAAAAATGAAATCATACGTTCATTCAAAAGGAGAAGATGTTCAGGTTTATGAAATATAGATTAAGGCTTTGGGGAGGAAAAAAGCAGCAACATTTACTGTATAAATGGGAGATGGCTTCTAACTCGTGATTAAAGGCAGAGATTTTAATGTCACTTTTAACTCTGTCTAGAATACAGAAGGTGGGAACAATTAAAAAGGCACAAGAACTCTGAAATAAGGGCTGTTTGTGCATTCACAGCTTTTCTAAACTGAAGAGGATGAAAGAGGCTTTTTTCTCATTGTCAGGGGCTCTCTCGGAGTGCAGCATTGTGCGGCTGGCAGCGCGGTTTAAAATGCATGCGTGCGCTGGGGTCAGGGCCCGGCTCGGGGCGGGCGGTGCAGGGAGCCCGGCCCAGCGCTGCAGAGCGCTCCGCCGCCGCGCGGGCCTTTAATTGAGACGTGCTGTCAAAGTGACAAACACATTTGCATACAGTCTATTTATTTTCCTCGGAAAGGTCTGCAGTCTGCTGTTGGTTGAACATTCTTAATCAGCTCGCTGTAAGTGAGCCGGCAGCGAGCTGTCCTGCGCTGGTGCTTCTCTTCATTACATGACAGATTAGCTAAAGGGGGATGGGCTAGCGAGCCAGCAACAACCTTTAATTTTAACTCATTATCTCTCACCCTAGAGTGAGAGAGTTGCTGGCTTTTCCAAACACGGTTGTGTATCTGCAGTTGTACGGCTACAAAAAATATCAGTAAAATATCTTGAAATGCCTGTAAAAGCACAGCCCCTCAGCTGATGGCTCACCAAAATTTGGCAGTAATTGGCTGACTGGGGGAGATTCTGTATGTCCTGGCTCATCTTGGTGAGTGGTGATCAGGCATCATTGGAGAGCCTTGTTTATTATGGAATTGTTTGAGTGATGCTTTATGCAATACTGACACATTGTGGGAATGCTCCCATTGATGGTGAAAAGAAGGATTTTTAGCCAGATAGCCTGGGGCAGTGTAGTAAAGATCTAAACTGGAATGTTCTTAGTAAGACACCATCGTGGGAGGGTGGGACCACTGCTTTTCCTGGGTGGCACTTTACATGCTTTACCCAGGGTGTACCTTTCTTATTGATCCCTGCATCAACCAAATACAGGAACTATCATCAAGGGCTCTGGGACAACACAATTGTACTCAACAAGCAGCAGGAGCAGCACAGGCAGCTTATGGTTTAATGGTGGGGGAGAAGAGGGAGCAATTTTCAAGCCAAGGCCAAGATTCAAATGGGAGGTTTGTGGTACTGAGTAGTGCTCTAAGTTTGGGGGAAGAGTAAGGTTAATTGTTGTGGAAGATCCAGTGCTACAGAGAGCATCTTTTGTGGTGCTTGATGGACTTGATGATCTTTCCAGTCTTTTTCAACCTTAATGATTCTATGAATGTCCTATTCCTTGCTTTCTGCTGGTTTGTTGTGTGAAAAGCTGTCCAAAATGTCCTTAAAGCATCAAACACCTGCTGCATATTCAGTTGCCAGAGCTGTCCTTGGAATCCTTCCCAGTGTGCCAGGCAGGGCAGCACTGGTCGCCCAGTAAGCCCTGACTGGGGCAGAATGGGGCACTAATGCAGGTGATCTGTGACTCAGGGGTTTGGGCTCTTGTTGCCATGCCCACGCTTGCACCTTTTAGGTAGAACACATGTGTCTGTGTTGTCTTTGACCTGTTTGGAGAATAGACACTACACAGTGTCATGGTGACTGTTTTGAACAGGTTCCTTGTCCAAGCAAGCAGTTGTTGGGGCTGCTTTGGCAGGACCCACAGAGTTCATACAGGATTGGTACCTGTGCCCAGTCTTCCCACCAGTCTGGGAGAGGTGGTGTGAACAGGCAGGATGAGCCCAAGGGCTTCAAAATCAAACCTACACTTAGGAACATTCCTCCTTAGGAGCTTTCCCACAGTCAGTAGCACCCCTGATTTAGTACAATTAAACCAGCAAATGATAAGCTGCCAGAAACATCACTTGTTGGGATGGTTGGGAAAGGGAATAATTTCATTAGAAGCAAGTGATCCTGGCAGTTCTGTACAGCTCTCTAATTGTGTCTATTATAATTAGAATGTCATTTGTCAGCTTAGCCGGGTTTATGTTTTCTATGGCTTGTTTTTATTTACCAGCAAATGGGATACTTAATTCCATTTATGCACCAAAAGGTGTAAAGCTTAAAAAAATACAAAAGACTCTTCCACATATATCTTTAGTAGAGAGATTCAATCATGTTCCATGCTTGATGCAAACTACAGAGAATCAATGCTCTGGGGACTAATGTAAATAGTTATGAGACAAATGGAAAATGCATTAATGTACTGAAGCAGCTTGTCTGACTGTGGAAAGACTTCTCTGGGTTCTCTCCCTGGCTCGTTCTGACTGCTGTTAAACTCTTGCAGGCCACAGCATGGAAATTGCTGTCTTATTTGCTGTTTTGAAGCCTTTTGCTGTAAATGAACGTGTTCATTTTTCCTAGTCACAGTGTGCACTTGGACACACAGAACAAACAACTCTGCTTTGCAGGGCAGTGCTCTTCTTCCAGGAGATTAAACGGCATTAAGAGGTCAGGGGGAAGATGGGGAGAACACCAGCCAGCTACATTCCAGGAATGCAGAACTGGATCACTGAGGCCAGGGGCAGCAGAGGAGGGATTATCTCCAGGGTAAAAGGGATGAAGCAGGGAAGGGAGGAAGGCTCCTTTGCCAGACCCTGTGACTCCCTTCACACCCAGGTGCATCGGAACAATAGCAGATTCCCCTGGATCACAGCAGGCATTGTGTGGCACTGAGGTAGAAAGCAAAGGGGAAAGGGGAAAACAAGTTCATTTGCTAATATTCATGTAACTGTGTGCTCTGGTTGCAGAGCCAGCCCTCCTCTGGCCATTCTGAGCTGCTTGGACAATAGCAGGACCTTCATTAAGAAAACGAGCCTCCCTTGCACTCTTCCCCACAGATGAGCAGTGTGGGTTCTCATTTCCTTTCTCTGGAGCCACATGGGGTTTCCTCCCTCTCTCCATTTGATTTTTTATGGATTTAGCAAAAGCATTAGTTGTTTAAAATTATTTTGTCTTCAGAAAGCATATCTCTACCCTCATTTGTTCTCACTCCTTTCTTTGCCTGTTCCTTTCAGGAAAGAATTCAGTGTTGCTCAGTACAAGTCAGAAGACTCACAAGAAAGACAAATGTCTTGGCCCAGAAGCACTTGCCCATCTAATGTCTGCTTGAGACCACTCAAATGTCCCATCAGGTTCTCAGGGGACAGCGTTCTTAGTCAGAGTAGTAAAACCAATGTCAGAGGACAAGACAATGATGCATTGGATTGAAGTTGTGGTGTGCAGGATTAGCAGAGATGGCAATCCATGTGGTGGGAGTTAGGGAGTGCCTGCCCTGGCCATGTGTGCCAACGTGGGACAGGTGTGAGCAGCGCCTGCAGAGTGTGCCCAGGGTCTCTGCC